TAGCCCTGCTGTAGTTTGTTTGTTTGTTAGCTATCTAACAACACATCAAAAATAATTGTAAGCCAGTCTTGTTCAATGAATCAGTGTACCGTGTACACTCAAAAAATATTTAGGCCTAAAATTTAATTTTGTTTGCTTATAAATACATGAACCTGGTTGTTCTATATTTAAAACACATTGGGTTTATTAGTGCTATTAAATAAATCACATTACTTATTATACTCATTATTATTACTTGAGCTTGTTTTATTTTTTCATTTCACAGATAGTTATACATCCTTAGTTGTAAATTAAATTCATTATGGACGTGGACTTAAAATCATTGTTTTATTGTATGGCCTTGCTGCCCTGGCTTTTGGCCTTTGTGCCCTCAAAAAATTGACAACACGAAAGGCCAAGTGGCCTTGCCCCTAAAATGACGAAATTCCAGGCCTGTGTCTGACAGTTTGTGAATTCTGTAAAACACATATCTATTAGCACAGCAATTGTGGACACCATGGATGTCCTTCAGACAATACTCACTACATTTCCAGGCAGGCTGTCAGGCTGTTCATCTGTGTCCTGTTACAAATATATTTTCTATGAGCACCACATCACTGACTTCTTATACATTAAGGATTAAATTATCTCCACAAGACTGGCAGGTTACCTCAAACCTTCTAGAGTCCAGAGAAAGTGTCTCCTCCTCATCTGCTGCATCCCCTGCTGCAGATGTGCCTTCACCCTGCCACATTAAATAGAATTTGTATTGACCTAATGTAAACTTGCAAGACATGTCAAGCAAATGCCTCTAATGAATAACACTCACCGGATCATCTTCCGGTGGCTCCAGAAGGGTCAGTGTGTCACCTGACACTGCAAGACAATCCAAAGTCAGACAGTCCACATAACACCAATGGTTGATTAATGAATGAATAAAATGACTGATTCCATGTACAGTATACTGGAATAATGTACCTTGTATGAAGAGGGCGGTTTCTGTGGGTTGGACAGAGTCTGTCAGGGTGAGCTCTTCCGCTGGTGTGAAATCAGCAATTGGTTCCCGAGTAATATTATATCCACTGCTCACCTTTAAGGTGAAGTGTACAACTGTTCATTTGTGGATGGAACTTTAATTGTAATTATAGCTGCTGCGCAGCGATGGGTCGGGTCCGGGCATTTTTAGGCAATTCTGAGCAACAAGCAGAAGAACTGGAAGACATTTAGGAATTTAGCAACACAATCTGCCTTTTGCATCAGCTGAGGCTTGAACTCACAACCTCTGAGACGAAGAATCAATTTCTATCTCACTGAGCTAATTAGTCAGTGACAATTCATGCGTAGCTTCACAAATTGACTAAGCCAGACGTGCAGGTTTAGTAGCTGTCCATGCATGAAAAAGCAGATTTCAAACCACTGTAAAAAATTCAGTTATAGAAACAAAAATCTGAAAATACACATATTGCATCTAGACAGCATGGAGATGTTGGTAATTTATTTAAACAATGATTGATTTGCTTCATAAGTGAAAAACTGATGTTTAACTAGTTGAGCTATGTGCAAAGTGAGAAGCCTCTGACAGTTTCACACTGAAGTATTGACACTGGATCTTTGTGCAAAGTTTGGTTTAGTTTCAAGCATGAGAAGGCAGATTTTCTAGCAGAAAAAAACGACTTGAAGATGCTGCACAGTGATCAGTCACGCTCAGGCAATTTTAAGCAATAAGCTGGAGCACAAGAAGATGATTACATTACAATGTGGATTCTGCACCAGTTGAGGCTCAAATCCACAACCTCTGGAACCTAAGACGGTCATCTGCCTCTCTGAGCTAATTGGCAAGTAGCAACTCAACAGTGGCTTCCCAAACTGAGTAAGCCATTCACTGTTGTGTAGGAAAGCAGCCATCCGTGCATGGAGAGGCATATTTGAAACCACTGTAAAAAATTCAGCTATTGAGACAAAAATCTGAAAATACACATATTGCATCTAGACAACATGGAGATGTTGGTAATTTGTTTGTAACAATGATTGATTTGCTCCATAAGTGAAAAACTGATGTTTAAAATTGCCATTTTTACATTGACTCACATCATCTACCATGACTCCTGAATTTTGTCATTTTCATGAACACTGAAGATTTATTTAGCAAGAATTTGCATGTATATGTTTACAGTACCGTGTACAGTCAAACATTTTGATGCACTGTAGGCTCAATTTTTGATAAATCAAAAATCTGAGAAACATAGTTTTTGTAGGACAGTCTGAAGATGCTCTGTAGCAAGTTTGGTGTCAATTGAGTAAAAATTGTGGGAGGAGATAGGTTTAAGAAGTTTTACAGTTTTTGGGAAAAAAAAAAACAGAGTGATGAACTTCATCATTTTTAATAGGTTTAAGTGTGCAAAAGTTTCTTAAGTATTGGGGCTACAGTTTGATGAAAGTTGTGAAGTTGTAGCACGTATGGTTGATTTGTTATGAATTTTCAAAGTTTTGAAATTTGGACGCTTGCTGTAGTGCCACCATCAGGACTATTGGCTTGAGTTTACAGCTGAGGTAATCTGGCATGAGACTGGACCTTTGTGCAAAGTTTGGTGAGTTTTCATCCATGGGAAGTATGATTTCCTCGGAAGAAGAAGAAGAAGGAAGAAGAAGAATACCTAGGATTACTGGCAGCTTAGCTGCCCGGACCCTAATTATGACAGATTCATTTGCGCAGCAAGTGTGTATTTTTAGATTACTTACACAATCAGTTGGTCTGCAATTGTTTGCCACACACTCTCTCTGCTTTATTATCGCTGCAGTGTTTCCTTTCTTCATGATTATATGTTTTACCTCTTCATAAGTGTCCATGATGAGACGCTGCTCACGGGGTGAGAAGTATGCGGCACGTGTCCTCTCCATTGCTGCATCGGTGAATCTGTGATCGATCTCGGGGTCTATTTAAGAAAGCCAAGGACGCGCACTTATCCGAATGAGTTACACCTGGCTTGACAAAGCCGCGCCTCCTCAGCCTGGCTTGGCGTTCGAACAACCAATTAAGCCAGGATGGACTTAGGGGAATTTGTCCAGCCTCGCTTTTCCACTTATCCTGGATTGGTTAATTCTACTTTCGAGCAACAGGCCCCTGCGCTACCCTGACTAAAACGTACTTACACAAGGCACTGCAAAAAATTAGGCCAATAGAATCATTAAAGATCAAAACCACCCAGAAAGCAGCCTTTTCTCCCTATTGAGGTTGAGAAGAGGGTACCATTTCAGCAGGCAGCACTGAGAGGCTCAGGAGGAGCTTCTACCCTTTGGGCACAAGAATCCTTATGAGACCCTGTCTAAAGGCTTTGCACATTGAGTCCATTTGTTTGGTATGTGTTTTTTAAATCCGTCATCCAAAACCAAAAAACGTTACACAGAGAAACCTTGCACACTGAGTTTGATGCATTTACTGTTGTTTTACTGTGAGAAAAACTGCAATACAAGATAAAATGAAAAAAGGACATTGCTTCTCTTGGAGTTACCTATCTGGCTGTCACCACTCTCCCCATGTGTATTGTGTGACCTGTTCCTCTATCTTGTCACAGATGTGTTCCACCACCACATTTTCTTCACCGCTCCATACTCAAACAACTCTCTAAAGGCTTTTGACAGATGCAGTAAAAATGCAGAAAATCGAACTATTCTGAAAACTCTGAAAAGATGGATGAAAATTTTGGAGTCAGTGTGCATATGTGATTGACACAACGTGAGGTCATGTTAATTTTAGATGTGCAACAATTTCAGATGACACTGGATAGGAAACAGGAACTGGAACTGAGAGATTATATATCACTGAAATGGTATTCATATGATTTCATGTGACAAACAAATTGATGGACTGATTGCTAGCTACTGTACATTTAAAAGGGAAGCTCATTTTAAAAGTTTTCCTAGATGATGATCATATACTAACATCACAACCTAAGGCCATGTTTCCACTGGACACAGAAGCGCTGTGATATGACAACTGTCATGCGAGCATTCCACTGGCTGTTTATACCAGAGGAACATTTCGCCAAGCCAGTCAGCAAGCGATCTGCTCCTCTGTTATTTTCTATTCACATATATAGCTCTGTCTCTGTCTGCTTGTGTGTGTGTGTGTGTGTGTGTATGTGTGTGTGTCTCTCTCTCTCTCTCTTGCTCTCTGTTTAGACACATTTGACAAAATGTGGTATAAATAAGCATGGGGTGGATATTTATCATTAATAAGAATCAGATCATTTATATCCTAAGTAATATATCCTTGACATAGTTCAGAATAGATTATTAGTGTGTTTTTTTGCCAGATTCACTCACAGCTTGTGGAAAAAATAGACCAGAAACTGAAACTATATTGCAGATTATTGCAGACAGTAATACACTGACTACCGAAAAGTACCTCATGTTATACAACCCCACTTCAAAAAATGGGAACGATCTCTTTAACAGCGGGGCCAATAGGAAAATCGTCACGCCCTGCAGCACTTCCGCATCCAGTGTAATCCCAGTGTAATGTGCGCAATTAGTGTGAATGTGTGTATACTGTGTGTATTTAATGTTGGCAGCCATCAGACCTTAAACAGCAGGCTCCATAGCATGCCTCGGCCCAAGTTGTCCACCACAACATCCAGCCAAGCTCCAAACCTGGAGCTCTGGCACAGCCTCCTCGCCAGCCAGCCGTCCACTCCTGCACAGTAAACATTATCACATACTGCAGACAGAATGCTCATATCCTTTTGAAACTGGACACAACTACACTTTCAAGCAATACCCAAGATTCTGTATTCCAGTTTATGCAGTATCATTTTTAGCATTCCATTAGTAATACCTTTAATCTAAAATCAGGTTGTCTATTTGGTGAAGTCCATCTTTTATATGATATACAGTACAATGATAGGATGCTGCTTGATTAATTACATACAGTAGCATATATAGTCAATTTTCACTTGTGATAGAAGATAAAGCACAGGCGTAATGAATACATTTTAGAATGGCTCAATTCCATTTAAGTGACATTAAAAGCATACAACTGAATCTGCATATACATGATCAGAGCCCTAAATGGAAACCTAAATGATTTATGCTATCAGTTACAGCTATGAAAAACTCCTCAATACTACAGTGGTGGTCAACTGCTGTCTTTTTCAAAAAATAATCCAGTCCTTAGCTGGTGTAAAACATTATCTACAAGTAGCGTAACGTGTTTTAACAGAAGACATTTTGACTTATTATAACAGGAAAAGTAGAGTTGTTGCTATTAACATTAAGGACAGGCCTACTCTATTTAAGTAAGCCATGACAGTGTGACAGTAAGCCAGCATGCACAATAATAGGAAGCTGAAAATAAAGCAGCTGAATGGAATACAGCCATCATTCCTTTTCTTATTTACACCTGTGTTATGTATCAAAATGTCTCCTGTGGAAAAGGCCTGTAGCACAGGTGTAATTAATAGCATTAATAATTATTGTGCCAGTACCTTAGTGCACACTCAAAGGAAAGGCAGGCCTTATTAATGTCATTATTAAAACCTACTCTTTCTGTACAAAAATGGTTATTGTACTGTAGACACGTTCAATACGACAGTGGTTGTTTATTTTGTACTGATGCCAAAATAAACGAGTATGGAGTTGGTACAAAATATGATCTAGCAGCATCACTTCAAGACTATCAGCATAAGAATGAAAATCCTGTACCCACAGGTCAAACACAGTAAACAGATACTTTACCATCAAGTGCTATGAAGATTGAGTAAAGAGAAACAAATACTGCTGGTGTCTCAAAGGCAGCCCATGCCGAAAGTACAAGGCCAATTCTAATGTATCCTGAAAAAGACAAAACCATAACTAATTAAAACAGCCGAGTGAAGGAACTCTTCAACTAAGTAACGGACATATAGCCTTGCACTTGTAAGCCTACTAGCACTGCTGTGAGGGAATGTTCTTTATTACAGAGGGGGGATGGCTGGGTTCTGACTATTTTTTTTTTTGTCTTTTCTTTTTTTTACTTTGACCCTCCCCAAAGCTGGACTGGACTGACTGGAGGAAAATGCATGACCCTCCAATCATTATTAGATTTTTAAAACTTACCCTTGATTTTTTGAAAG